AACTCGGAAATGAATGTCTCGATCTCCTCCTGTACCTAAATAAGTGAAGTTAAATTTTTTTATTCTTTTTTTCTTTTCTTTTTTTGTACAGATCTAATTTACCCAACATCTGTTTTAAATCAACAGGAAAATCGAATGGGTAGATCCACAGACGACGCCTTCAGTTCAGCTTTTTATAGCCACTGTAAACCAATACATTAACTACTGTACAGTATGCACATTGATAAGTAATATCTATTTGACAAGACATAAGACATTTCCTCCAACAGACGACGCCATTTTCTGCTGTAACTATCTCTTCTGTGCACTCTTCCAGAGTTTGATGAAACTGATAGCGGTTAATGCAGCTTTTATTTGGTTTAATCTGTTCTGGGTTTGCTGATTGTGTCCCATTTGAGGGGATGAAATCATCCCCCACATGATTGCATCCCCTTAAATCATAACTTTTATTGCCACGTGCACCACTAGCATGTGGTGCGCTGTATTTCTCCTGGTTTATCACCCCTTTGTTAAATGGGACAGCAGTTAATTTGACGCAAGGCTTCGTTTCAAACTAACTTCAACTACACCGTGATGTTTTCAGGAAGAGTGAAAAACGGAACGTTTTTTGAGAATAAACACATGACGAGTCTCAAAATGATTAGAAGTAATGTCATCCAGATGTGTACAGTTGTAACCTGAATTTTCCTTCATTTAAAGTTTAACAAACTTTGCAAGATCTGGATCAGTTACATCAGTTTCCCAGAGAGCCTTTTTTACCATGCTCGTCTCCTACTGTTGCAAATTTGTTTGCGCATTTGTTCACATTGCACCATATATATGTATATTTGGGAGTCAGTTGCATCGGCATGACAACACAAACGCTTAGAGTTGATTTAAGTGTCATTGAGTGTAATTGCAGAGTCACTGACAGTAATTAGGTGGCACACCAAGCTCACCAACGCCTGTAATAGAGTGTAGAGAGACAACCAGTCTCCTATTTCACACTGAACTGAAGGACTGTTTTAATAGCAGCCTGTCACTAAGGCTGTTATCTGTTTTCCAGAGGTTGCATTATGAGGTGTACAGCCTGGTTGAAATGTTAGATTCAGAGCAGCATGAGTGCACAGAAGCAGTTAAGACATAACAAAGAGAATTGCGTGGGGATTTTCACAACTGAAACTGCATGCACATAAGCACACAAGCACATGTGGTAAATTTTAAACAGTCAACATGAAGCATTTCTTGAAGGAAACACCATTTATTTTATATGTAAACACAGATCATAAGTCATTAGAACTACTACTAATAATAATAATAACGGGAAGAAGAAGACAACTGATTTTTTTTAGGATGAACAATTTTTTTCAGTATTAATATATGAATTGTGGCTCCATTTATCTTTTGATTAGGGTTTTAGTTAATATTGGGTGTAATTAAATATGTTCAGGTTCACTGAAATTAAACTGCCATTTAATTTCACCTTCCATGTGAAGAAGTCATCTGAGACCCTCACTCACAGACTGCGCACACATACACTCACAGGTCTCTTTGTTAGATATCTAATCAGCCAGCGACAATGGTGGAAACTCATCATTTGCCTGCAGACATGATGAAAACGATCTGCGGAAGTTCAAACAAAGCATCAGAAAGGAAGAAAGCTAATTTAAGTGACTTTGAATGCGGCATGGTTGTTGGTGCCAGAAGGGCCAGTCTGAGTATTTCAGGAATTGCTGATCTACTGGGATTTTCCCACACTACCATCTCTCGTGTTTACAGTGAGCATGGCCAAAATAAGAGAAAACATCCAGCGAGCAGCAGCTCGTTGAGTGAAAATGCCTTGTTGATGCCAGAGATCAGAGGAGAATGGTCAGGCGACGTCAAGCTGGCAGGAAGGCAACTGTGACTCAAAAAAACACGCTCGATACAACCAAGATATGCAGAAGAGCGTCAGGTCAAACACAATACGCTGAACTTTGAAGCACAGGGTGCCGTTCTTGTCAGCTAAGAACAGGAAATTGAGCCTACAATTCACTTTGACTCACCAAAATTGGACAATAGAAGATTGGAAAAAGCTTGGCTGGTCTGATGAGTCTCACTTCTACTGAGACATTCAGAGAGTCAGGACAGAATTAGGCAAAAACTACACAAAAGCATCAAGAGTATGAACAGTTCAGACTGCTGCTGGTGGTGTAATGTTGTGGAGCTCTTAGTACCAACAGAGCATTATTAAAATATTACAGTCTACCTGAGTGTTATGAACGCAGTGTCTTCTGATAGTGCCTTCCAGCAGGATAAATCGGGTGCCACAAAGCTCAGATCATTGCCTCCACGGCCATCAGATTTCAATCCAATAGAGCACCTTTGGGATGTGTTGGAGCATCGTGGATTTGTAGCCAAAATTTCTGAAGAATGTTTCCAGGACTGTCTTGTATTTGTGACATGAAGAATTAAGGCAGAGTCCAACCCTGTGCAGAAAGGTGTACCTAATAAAGAGTCCACTGACTGTGTATTAAGCATCAAGAACAACTCCGCTCATAGAGTTCACTCTGTCTTGAATGGAATCCGCATTTTCCCAACAAACTGCACAACAATAGAAAAATGCAAAAGTCTGCAAAGGGCATCGGACCCTGTTGTTGTCCAAAAACATATCCGCAATGTTGCACAATGCAACGATTTTATTTTTATTCTTTGAACTCCTGAAAAACAACAGTGCTACTGATTTACGCTGAAAATATGCTGTCTCACTGTTTTAGGAAGAGAGAACCTTTTTAAGATACATTTTATAGACTTCAAGTAAGTGAGTCTGGGTTGGGACTAAGTGTGACAGACAGGAGAGGCGAGATGAAAAGTGCTGAGAGATGAACTAATGCAATGTTGAGTTTGGCATCCCATGAGATTTGTTTTTCAGCCTGGCAGCGTGCGCTCACCTAAAGCAAATATATCAAACAACGACAGCTTTTTGTGTCAAAGCCCAGTTATGTAATATATGGTGCAGAGCCATTGCGAGCAGAAATAAGGAAATGTGCACACCGAAGAAAAACAGCGTTAATGCTGATGTTCGTGTTTGAAAAGAGGATGAATGCATAAAAATGTCAAGGCTTAAAGTCACGTCTTCAGTCATGTCCTGGATTAATAGTTTGAGTTGTATTACAAAATATGTATTTTGTGTTTGTTTGTTTTCTGCAGTTGTGTAAATAAACTTGTTCCTTTGTGCACAAACGTGGCTTCAAGATGACGCTGACAGATCATACACAATAATTATGTTTGAATATGTTTAATGAAAGAAACATTTCAGGTCGTAAACCCACACAAGCATGCACAGACTCATTATCTCCCATAAACATGAACAATGGGCCATGAGGCATGCTTACCACACATAGTCATGTTCCATCACTTCAGAGGAAATGCATTAAATTCCCAGCCTAACCCCAACCCTTAGGCTTTGATCATATATTTTTCTTATGTTTCTAGTCCCCAAAAGATGAGTCCCCTCAATGCGACTGAATAAACAAAGAAAAAGCACCAACAACATTAATCTGACGCAAACAAAGGCACACAGAGTTCAAACAGTCTAGCAGTCAGGTAAGAATACAAGACGCAGTGGGGTCATCTCCATCACTAAGGTAACAAACACAATGATGCAACTATGAAGTCATCAAATAAATCCATCGTGCACGGCCTCCGGGGGTTTATCGTAACCACAGGAATTGCGGGGATTTTATAGGCACCGAGTGAAATCTGGCATGGCTCCAATATTCAGAAGGAAGAGACAAAGACAGGATTTTTCAGACGAGTTTATTGTATGAGAATACATGAATGCAGACACGCTTGTCCACTTTCACAGTGCATAAATGTCACAACACAGGAGTGTAAATGCTTTACATGCCCTTTAGGGAGAGACAGCGGAGGTAGAGTTCGGAGCAGAGAGGATGTGATTCAACCTGGCAGCACAAACCTTCATAACATTGTTTATATGAACTGCAATACTCCAACTACAAAAAGACTAAACTCTGAACAAGACTTGGCTGCTTCTAATCAAGCTATTGAGGTGAACTGAAGAAAACTTTCAGACTTGTATTCACTGTAAAGTTTCTGAAAAAAATGGCTTAAAATTTCTTAACAACATAAAATATTTTTGATAAGATCATCAGCGACTACATTTGCTTCGGTGTTTGACACTCATAGTTCAGCTAATCTGCTTTGTAAGGGCATTACGGATGTTTGGTCAGATCTGGCTGATGGTGGCTTGGCAACACAGACAAACAACACAACAAATGTAGTGATTTGACTGCAAAAAACTAAATTGCAACACGTCCGATTTGCGCAACCACTTCTTGTCGTTCCCTCAAAATGAAAGAAAAAAGACAGATAAACTGGCTTATCGAGATTAACTGAGAAAACACATTTTCAGAATAGGGAAATCGGACATTTCAAGGACACAAGCGGCCGTTACTCTCTGCAGGGTACACCACAAAGCTGCGCAGGCTGCAGTAAGGCGTAGCAGTAGTTCAGCTAAATGCTGAAATTAATAGCAAAGCAATGAAAAATGCAGATCTCTTGGTGGCGCAGAACTAAAGGTCAGTGAATGTTGTGCTGCATCCATCTTGTCTAAAATATTTAACCCTTTCATGCATGAATTATGACAACTTCAACCTTTCCTTTAGTATTTTTAGTCATCTTTAGGCATGAAAGGATGAATAAAAATACTTAAAAAATTCTGATTGAGGTTGTCATAATTCATGCATGACAGGGTTGAATAACAATAATTACAATGAAACACGTCATACATCTATAGTAACATTGAACAACCAGTGGGTGGCAGGGTATGGAGCGACACATCAGTGTCCAATGTAGAGGTTTATGTGCAAGTATACCATCAACATGACACAAATACAAGAAAACAGCCTTTGAATAGCTGTCCACTGTAGTGACCACTATGCGTGAAAGGGTTAATTTGATATGCTTGTTCTTGAGGTGTCGTTAGTATTATAGAACCAATACAGGAGAATCCCCATAGCTCATTTAAATCAGAATCTTTAGTTGGATCATTGCAGTTCATGTAAATCATAAGATGCAAAGACATGCAGACTTTTGCTCAGATGTTTGCTTTTACATATTATTTAGCTGGTCTTGTGGGTACTGGAGTGTGGGAAAGTAAATGTAAGTAGTGATCGATACAAAGCACTTTTGAACAAAAATCAGAAATTTTACACAGATCAAACTGAGTTTTTGGCAACAATATATCAGCTTTCCAAGAGCAAACAAAACAAAACAAAAGCATTTTCACAGAATCAGCAACGGTTTTACACGAGCTGTACCAATTTTACCACCACTTTAACATGATTTTATATAAACACACATTATCGTGTGATGAAAGTCAACTGAGGCACAGAGGTAAGAATATGAACAGAGCTACAGTATATCCTCACAGTGTGGCAAAATACAGTAAAGTCCATTTAGAAGTCCTCTGAACATAATAGAAAGCTGTTTAAATAAGATGAATAAGTCAACGCAATGTCCCATAAAATGTGCGACAGGAACACTGATGAATGTACGGCAGAGCAGCAAGAGCAGATTTACAGTGCATGAAAATCTCAGTACGCAGCATGGCGTATGCACATCATCATTAAACCATAATGTAAGCCGACACAAAGCAAGCAGAGGAATTTACAGTGGTTTAGATTCATTATTTATCTTGTTAATGGACATATTAATGATATAACTGCCATTACCAGCACTGTTGCATCATGGGTAAAAAAACAACAACAACATTGTGCATCAGTATGTGTTGATCAACAGGATGGAAACAAAAACTGGGTAAAAAGTAAAATATGATTGATTAAACATTAATGAATGTAAACATTTCTAAATCTTAGAGTGGCACGACATGTAATGCTGGTTTGGTGCTTTTGCAGCACTGTGGGTCTCTCAAAGGTTTTTACATTTAAAGAAACCCTTTGATATTTTGGGAAAATGGACAAAATGATTTATGCCAATGTCACTTCTTAAAAAACTCTTGAACAGTAAAAAAATACTTGTGGTTGAATAGGTCCTTATTTTTATTTTAGTTCAGTTATTTAGTTATATTTTTTTGATGAACCAAAACATGTATTAACCTTTAAATATTTTTGTGTTTTTTTTAAATTGGGCAGGTTGTTTTACCCTTTCCTGTATTAGCGCTAAGCTAAGCCAACTGTTTAGTATATTATTAGGCCACCAGAAAGTCAAACTATTCCTCTGAAGACATGATGCTATGGGTAAAGGCAGACAGCTCACTGGTTTACACTTAAGTTATTCTTCTGCAGTGAATCTATGCAGACACTACGATGTAGCGTACACAAGTGGCTGACATGGTTGCCAGCATTTACACCTGCGCTTGCATCAGCGTGACATATAATCACATTGCTGGGGAGGTGCACATCAGGTTATTGTGCATGGTTTCTGGTTATGATGCACCTATGATGTAGATTTAAGACAGAAAAATAAACAACCTGTGAGATATAGGCATGTCTTGTTTTAAAATTGTTTTTCTCATTGTTTATTCTAACCTCTAATTGGAAACATACCCCACAAAACAAAGAGTGGTATCTGTTGTAGGATGTCAAAGCACCCCCAAAGTCAAAATTAAAATTTCTTCATTGCAGTTTACTTCTACATAAAAAAGGAAGGAAAACCAAGCTTTCTGACTATAAACACCTTATTTCTGCATTTTCATTTGATTTTTCTTCCCTTGTTTTCCTCCCTAATTTCCATAGCATGTTTAATTCAAAGCAGCATTACTCCTGTGTGCTTTTAATCCGTATTATTCTTAAAGAAAGATTAATAAAAAGTCTGTGCAAATTAAATGTCTGTGTAAAAAATAGAGTTGTATGGATTAGGACAGCTATATACCAGCGAAAGGAAATCTGTCCAAGAACCTCCACTCTGTCCAGCAAAGTAGAGAGAAATAATAATTAAAAAACAGATACAGTACCAATACTTTCCCCATCACCAATCTCCTCCTAAAAGAGATGCAGGCACACAAAAAAAAGAGAAAACCTTCAGGCTGAACAGTCAACAACGACAATGCACCTCTACGTGACGATTTTGCAGCACCTCTAACACGGTGAGATGAAACCACTTCCTGTCAAGTCATAACCAGACAGGACAAAAAGCTGAACACAAACATCAAAAGCGAGCAGATAGAGAAGATGGTGTTTCTGTGGGTGAGAACCTTCTGAACAACATGATGCAATCAGCACTTTAAAACTAGTCCCACGACATTATGCAACAATCCTCCACTCAGGTTCTCTGCTTGGAAAACATTTTCACGTTTTCTTGTGGACAAAAAGCTTCTGTTGTGCTAAGATTCTTCTTTTTTATATAAACTTGAACTGATTTGTCTGTTTAATGCAAATATACACAGGATAGACAGTATATACTGCAAGGACAAAAAACAGTTACATTCACTTCCCCCCCACCCCCCAAAAAATGGGCTGCTCCACTTGATGTAAGATAAAGTGTATTACAGAAAAATCTTTAGTAGCATTAAAGACTAAGGCCAAACAAAAGTAATAAAACGTGACCCTGAGCTGGTGCATGGCCATTCAGATGGTGTTGAGTTAAAGAAGCTACGGATAGAATTGAAACAAACTAAAGGACCACACACGATACTTAAATAACATATTGTGCATGTACATTTTCTACCTTGTGTATTTCTGTGTGCAGCATCCTAAATTCACCCTTCCGTTTAAACAGGCCAAAGGCAACTGCTGCAAGTTCAGGCCGCTGGATGAGGGACCCCAAGAGTCTATGTTTGTAAGTGTGTGTGAGAGAGACATAATTTGGAGGAGAGCGACTGATGCATTCAACCCATCAGACTATTAAACCACAGTGAACCCCTCCCCTCCCTTTTCCCTCTTGCCGTTGCCCCAGTCCATCCACATGTAGGAGGCCCTGGTGAGTCGTTGACTTCAGGACTTTCCTTGACAGCTCCACCCCCCATTCTGAAGGAGGCTCTGTGGGGTGAGGCTGTCACGTCCGCAGCTTCAGGATGACTGTCGCCAGGATGAGGAAGAAAGTGTTCCAGCCCAGGGTAACAGCGAAACCTCGCCACACCATCATCCGAGACAAACCCCAGCCTGATGGGAAGATTTATATCTACATTTACTACATATTTTAAAAATCAAAAGAAAAAACAAGCAAAGAGTGGACACAGAAAAAGACAAGGTCGACGATTTCAGCACCAGATTTATGCAAACTGTGATCAAAAAGTTCTGAGACTGCACCTATAAAAAAGCAGAAACTCTATCCCCTCACTTCAAGGTTGTCTCTATATGCACTTATGCGTATTTCCCTGAGCTCGCGCCAATTTAAGATTTCTTTCTAACCACCCTTTTATTTGTGATTTGTGCAGAGAGCAAGCATCAGCTTCTGTACCCATTTGACTCTTCATGTTGAGGACCATCAATGGGAGCTGGGCTGCAACTCAGAGACGTGTCAGTCATGTCAGATCAATTGTGCAAAAAAGGAGCATGCTTTTGCATTTTTTGTTAGATATATTTACAGTGTTGTGCACTGTGACACTGTCCAATCGGTCAGACTGCCAGTGGGAAGCTCTAATGTAACCTGTTTGTGACCTTTGATGAAATTCACCCAAACTGTGGTATGCCTCAACATGTACCGTTTTTGCTGTATCAGCATCATCACCCACCCGGCTTAACAGATTGATCCCTGCGACTTCCTCCGACAAAATAAATACAAGTTGAAGGTTGTTGTTTTGCAAACGCACACCTGCAAGTGGTCAGAGTGGACATGGAGAGATCAAAGACAGGGCAAGACTGCTGAAAGAGGCCCCAGTGTTTCAATAAAAATCAGGGACAACTTTTGCTTCTTTTTTTTTATAGCCGACAGTCTGAAGAATTTTATAGTTTTCCAAGACTTTAGTAAACTAACCCTTTATATCAATAAGAATAAGAAAGGGTTTACAAAAGTGGACACAACGTGATGTGATTTAGAAATTTGTAACTTGTGTCTCTTTTTTTTCTGTCTATTAAAAAATTATCAATCAAAAAAAAAAGAACTAAAGTGACTCACAGATGTAGCTTCAACTCATTTAAAGCTGACCTACTGTTAAATTTTCATGTCTGCTGGACTCTGTTAGAGTTGCTTTGCATATAAAATAGACCTCAGAGCGCCCCTTAGTTTATCCTCGGCTTGAAATAAGCTGTTGTAGCTCATTTTGCTTCATGCCAGTTTTCTTATAATGGGCTGAAGGTGGGGGAACCCAAGTGTTTCGAGCAGACTCAAATTTTATCTCACAGGGATCTCTCATATATAAGCTGACCTCAGTATCTCAAAAAGTTTTTAGTACAAGCTTCGACCCCTGTTTTATAAAAAAAGAAAATAAAACAAAGCATAATAGTTTGATCTTAAATCTGGGTCTGCGTTTATAGACAGGGACATCTTGTATGAGATTAAACAGTCATCAAGTCCAGTTAGCAAATGTGGCAGGATGAAGCTGCATTTTCCATGGTAAAAGAAAAGAAAGGTGGCAGTTCATTTCCTAAATTGAACTCTGACATCGTGGACTTGTCCCTGTGAGATTTTTTCCACCACACTTATACGATAAGGCCTTCAAACAGGAAATGGCTCCTCCGACTTCCTCTGTATCAAGTAACACAAGGGGAGCTCGTGCTGTCATCAAGTCTTATTGTTCAGAGGTCAACAGGAGGAGAAAAGATTGGAAGACAGAGTGAAACCGCTACACCTCCTGAGAGATGAGTTACACTGGACTCAGAGCTGATTAATGATTTAGTCAACTGGCTCCGTTGTGCACAACGTAATCATCTGAGCCGTGCACACGCTGCTAACTCTTACACGCTACCAATATGCCATATGGTGCGCAGCAACAGCACATGACGTTAAACTGTTGTTGTGTGTGATGCGTTCTGTGCATGAGCGTTACCTCTGTACATGATACAGCGAAGGGCTTCTGAGGCGTAGGTCTGAGGAAGGACCAGGCTAAGGTAGCGGAGAGGATACGGGATACATTCCACGGGCCAGATGATACCTGCATCACAGGACAGAGAGGACAATGTGTCAGATGTGGGTAAGATATCATTTACACCTCCAGCAGGAATGCTTTGTGTCTAGATTCTGATAACAAGCAGGCTGTGAAGCAATAATCTGCCGTTTCTCTTGTTTTTTTTTCTGTTTTTTTCACATGCCAAATCAGGTTCAAAGTTCAGTCTGAGCAGCTGAAAAACTAATCTCACTTCACGGTGCATTTAGCAGCTCTTCTGCAGCAATCACTTCATAAGCACACAAATTTTGCTTTGAATTGCAGATGTTCAGAATTCCATCTTTTTCTAAGAAAGTCTGGACTCAGAGTTCAAAGATGGAAATATTGTGATATGGCTGGAAGATCCAGAGCAGAACAGCAACAGGATGAACACAGTGGAGAGATTTTATTCACTGCTGTTTCCGTCCTTTTAGGCCACAGCATCAAAATAAGAAAAAGCCTTTAAAGAATTTCTTATTATTCTGTATTCATCACAGATGTATGCAGAGTAACTATTACATCCTCCAAAAATAGCTTAAAAAACATCAGTTTCTTTACTCATGAATCATTAACTGGGACTTCATCAAAGGAATAGCAAGCATGTCAAAATTATATCACAAATCTTATATGCCTCACACTGATATAAGAGCATTTTACACTTCGTTGTATATTTCAGGCATGTTTTTCTTGTCTGCATGTTTTGTTCACTGGATTTTGTTGTTGTTGTTTTACGTGGCCCTTGGGAAGACTAGCAACCAGTTTGTGCAACTGCAGGGCTGCTAACAAGAAGTCTGATATGATATGAAAACACTGGATGACTTAGTGTGCATAAGAAAAACCAAAATGAAAGAAAATCTGCTATAAATGATTAAACATCAGTGAGTTAGGCAGTGGGCTTTAGTCTTAGTAAGCTTATTTGCACATCAGTGTCAGCAAAGGATAAACACATTTCCCATAACGTATATATACAAAATATTACACATCCTCCTACAACTTCTAAAGTTTTGAGCTTTTAATCCAAATAAAACCACCATTTATTTGCACTACCTACACAAATGCTTACACCCAGTTCACAACATCAAAGATGATTTAATCAGATTCTAATTCCCTGATTAAGTGATGCTCAGACTCACACCTACTGTGCTTTTTAAGGCTTTTTACACTCACAACAGTAAATCTCACTGCTTACCACTAAGGATGAGGTTGGGGTAGAAGATACCCAGAGCGGCCTGGTTGGCGCTCTGCTCGTCGTCGATTGCAGATGAGATGACGAGGCCGAATGAGATGCCTGTGACACCCTGCAGGACTATCAGAATTATGACGAGCACCAAGGACCCTTCGTTAGGGTTCTGCAAAGACAGAAAGAGAGAGAAAGAGATGAAGAGCAGGGGTAAGAAAAAGATAACAAGCTTGATTAAGTTGTGGGCATTTTAAATGCAAAGCTGCAGCAGACCTAAAAGTTAAGGAAATAAAGGGGAAGCTAGAACAAAGCAGTACTTCCAGCATCATAAACATGGGTAAGGGCCTTCCCTCGGATTATTACTGCAGTGATTAAAATGTTTCAGCTGGCAGGTCATTTAACCCTAACTGATGCAGTGAGTAGCTTCTTATTTTTTATCCAACCATGTCAGAAAACATATCCGTGGTCAGAAAGGTCAAATTATTGGCCTGCAAAGAAAACAACTAAAGAGAGTGATGGAATTACTAAAAATCATATGGTTGGAAAAGAAAAATCTTCAACGACTAAGTGAGATAATTTTCTGCACAGTGTGAAGAAAACCTCTTTGCTAGGGTGCAAAAAGATTGAACTCTGGAGCAATGGAAAAAGGGAATAATCTCATATTTATGCTGTTCCAGACTGACTGGTGTATCAGCGTAAAAACAGAGGTGGATAAAGTGATGCACCTATTACGTCTACTCTCTGTGAGCCTCTGGGGGGCTATGCTATGATCTGGGGTTGCTTCATTTTGTCAGGTCTAATTCAGCAACATTATGTACCCCAAACATGAGGTGAGCTGACTGCCTGCATCTCATCATCAGTTCTGCTCTGAAATAAATGTTGTAACATTGTATAAGGTCATCAAAATGATGCCACAGCTAATGTGCTGTGATTAAAGCTAAAGATGGTCAAGTATTCAATATTGTTTTAGCGAGCACTGTATTTCTTATCACAAGTAGAAAAAGCTGAATAAACACACAGAGAAACTGCAGCATTACAACCAGATTTTTAAAACTTAGAAACAATGTAAGCTTTTCTTGTAAAATATATCACAATTGTCTGTCTGCTGGGAGTTTCTAAAACTATTTGAAGATGATAGTAGTTTTGTTTTTAAAGTTTGTGATGGTTTATGTTTGTGTCACAGAATTATTGATGAAGCTAAAGCCATGGAAAACCATGATATGATACATTTTAAAAAAGGAGCTGTGAAAGACATTTGATGGACATGAAATTACACCAGCACTTGCTGCATGCTCACACCCGACATGATGTACAATCATCTTGTGTGGCTGTTAAAGGGGAATTCCACTATTTTATCATATCTGCATGGTCTGTTGGGAAAGAGAAGTCTGAAGATGAATAAATAAATAGAGGTGAGGAGTTAGAAAGAAATGAGATTGCAGGGCTGATCCTAATCTCTGTCTTAATCAGTTGAAAACTCTTTCCTAATGTGTAATAAATTATTACGTTTTTAAGTGTTATGGTTGTTTTTTCCATCCCTGGACATTCAAGGCCATTTTAAGGAGTTTTAACATTTAGTTTCACCACAGATAAGAAGGACAAATAGTTCTTACCCTGACTATACACCAGTGAAATGGTCCTGTGATGTTAATATGGGAAGTTATCATGCATTAAAGAGTGGTATACAAAATCAGACACTGCAGAGCGGAGTTTAACTGTCCACCACATGTAACATATCAGAGTGCAATACTAAATCACCTGGGGCGACTTTGAATTAGTGGAATTTTTTTTAAATAACACAGGAAAAGACAAGAAGATGAGATGAGGAGAAAGGGGGGGAAAGATAAAAAGAAACGGAAAGAAATATCACTGATAGTGAACTTTGGTCTGGGGTGTAAATGAGATATGAAACTTTTCAAAATCACATAAAAGCAGTAAAACAGAGACTGGAAGTCTCGCCTCACAAGATTCCAGGTGATAAGCTCCTTCGCTAAACTGTGTGTGTGTGTGTGTGTGTGTCTGTGCCCTCCTTGGAGTGTTAAGACACTTCCCGTCTCCCCTGACAACGTGCAAAAATAAACCTGCACCAAGAGACCACATGACCACTCGGTTGCCACAGCAATCAAGGCCTGTTGTTGTGGTGATCCCACAGTGATCCTTGGATACGGCCGGAGCGGGAAGTGATTTATGGAGCGGTGGGTTCTGTGGACTTGAGCACCTTAATTAACACACACACACTAACATAGAGGAGCGTACGCATAAAAGCAGGTCCCTGCATGAACTAAACGCACACTCACATTTATACTCTGTTCTTTCTTCTCTCTATTGATTTCATATGGATGTCTATCAATAATCAGTAGTGAATGAAATCCCGATGTTCCCACTGGTTTGGTCATTAAAGCCAAGATTATTAAAGTTAATCGAACTTGTGACATTTAAGTTAATGGTAATAAAAATTAAAAGTATAACAAAAATAAATAAAATACCAAAAATGTCTTTAGCAGCAACAACATAACAACAGCATAAACTAATGAAAAAGAGAAAACCATAAAACTCTGGGTTTAACAGTTCAGATACTTTTTACACTAGATGTCAGAAGGATTCATATTCTTTAAATAAAGAAGAAGCTACTTTCCCTAATATGTTCTTCCTGGCCCAATTCCAAAGGGATTTGTATCTCCTTTTAGGATTTTTTTTTGCTTGTTAGTCAGTTAGTTTAAACCAATACACAACTGAGCCACTGTTTAATGTCTTTAAATGTGAAGACACGTTTTCATGTCCTCATAGTCAAGTCATAAAACGGCAAATAGCCAATGAAAACTGGCAAGATTTGTCACATGTTTCATGACATCGGCGATTCTGCATTAAATCTAGAGTCATAATATGGTAAAACGCAGCACTGTTTGATAAGTCCATGTGTATATAGAGTAGCTGAACTTTGTCTTGCCACATAAGTGATGTTATGAAACAGTTTTGGACCAATAGAAGAAAGTGGAAAGTGGCCTTTATGTGATATATTTCCTCTTGAGTGCACTGTACCTAAATTTTTATGTGGGAAAAACGGTATATGCTTGAAAAAAAATAGAGGTTAATAAAATTATAATAAAATTATGATTTGAATCCACTGCAGTCTGATTTTGATGATGTAGGAAAAATGCAAATGAAGATGGTAAAAGGTCGGCGAGGGATTAACCTTCAGTATATCAGAGCTGTTCCCTGCATGTTGAACGAAACCATATCAGAGGCCGTTTTAAAAAGCAAAGAAACACAATGAGTTTGCAAAGAGCACAGGAAATACCACGTTTCAACCTAAAGTGCTCAACATTAAGTGACCGTGTTGTGGTCTCAGCAAAGGTTAAACAGGACTGACCCTGTGGTCTGGCTTTGCAAACACTTATTGGCATTACACTGACTGAAAGCAAACACAGAAAATCAATTAAAGAAGCGAACAGTGAGGTGACATCTGTTACACTGTGAGGTAAAAATAACAGTCAGCCTTGTTTATATAACCAAACCGTTCTTAAGGCTTCTATTTTTATCATTCATTTCCCCTGCTGATACTTCATCTCTGTGGACTTCATTTTTTACTGCTGCAAAGGTTCATCCTCAAATCGATTCATATCAAAGATTCACCTGACTACGTCTGTATTTTGAGTTTCTGTGTTATTTTTTCGGTTTTATTGCTTCTACCTTGAAGACGAGCAGCATCATAAGAAGCAGCAGGATGATCTGAACGCTGATGACGAACAGCTGAGAGAAGAGGTGAGCCAGCATCGTCTCCAGAGAGCTCACACCTGATAGGAACACAGAGAGACAAAATTCAATAAACTCACTAAAAGATCTTTACACATTTTACATTCACATCAATTATTTAATCAATTACGTAATGTTGCAGTCAATTTATGGGTGCCCAGTATCTATCAAATCACAATCATAACAGAGGATAAACATAAACTGCTTCATAAACATAAACTTTTTAACTGCTCAGCTTTATTATACTTTTTTTTTTATTACAAACTAAGTCAACTATAACACATTTTTGATATAATTACAAATACTCAATAAGAGATGACTATTAAGTCATAATCCATTTTAATGCTAAAAACAGCAGTTTATAAGAAGATCAAAACAAAAGGTTCTGCTGAACCGTACTGTGATCTTCTTACTCCCTCTAGTGGTCAAGTCATGAATTACACTTGAAACAATCCATTGATTGGATTCTTATCACCACTATATGGTTAATACTGAACACAGACTCAGTTTATTTTATGGTTTTTCCCATTTACGTGATTCACACCAATTCTGCAAACAATCCAAAATTGGACTTTTAGATCAGACTGTCAAATCTTGACAAGAGAAATTAAAAACATGCTTCTTATAGGTACAGCTAACATTCAGATTTAGTTGAAGCTGTTTGGCAATAAGCCACAGTTATATATATATTTTTT